GGAGGAGGGGAGGAGGGGAGGAGGGGAGGGGAGGGAGGGGAGGGGAGGGGTAAACCCGGAACCCTAAACCCTAAACTCGAAACCCTAAACCCTAAACCATAAATCCCGAAACCCTAAACCCTAAACTGGAAACCCTAAACCCCGAACCCGAAACCTTTCCCTACATGCACCATCGGCCCCTATGCCCCGAAAGCCTTCCAGCATGCTCGGCCGACTCCAACTCCAGACTCCAAGCTCGAAGCCCTAAGCCCCACACGGGAGTTTCCGAAAATAGGGGGCCCTAATATAGTACCCTAAATACTAGGATCCTTATTATAAGGGCCCGAAGATAAGGTACCCGAATTGCCAAGACCTTGAACTCTAAACCCGAAGCCCTACGCCCCCTACCCTCAAGCCTAAGCCCGAACCCCATCCGAACCGAAGCCCTCAGAGGACTCTTCGGGGCCAGACGCCGCTGATGCTGGCGGCCACAGCAAGCCATCACTCTTCTAGGTATCGATTTGGGATGAGTCTTGCTTTCACTTTATTGCTCAGTGTAGAGCCTTCCCTAAACCCTAAACCCTAAACCCTAAACCCTAAACCCTAAACCCTTAATTAAAAATACTTTTGGGGACTGTTGGAGTCGACACCTCGTCTTTGAAGCACTTCGACGCAAGGTTCGTGAGATTCAGGGGTCTTTACCCTACGGTTTAGGGTTTAGGGTTTAGGGTTTAGGGTTTAGGGGCTTTTGGGATTTCGGGAGTTTCGGGTTTTGGAGTTTTGAGGCTGATAGACTTTCTTTATGGCTTGAACTTTCGGTGCTGAGTGTGGAAGGAGTTTTAGAACTTAAGTGTGCGAGAGGCTGAGGGCTTGGAGATGCTAAGAAGGATGTCATGTTCAGTACCTAGCTAGTTGGATTCAGCATAAGGGAGTTGAAGATGTCAGCCAAAGGTTTTGCAATTTATGGCCTGGTTCCGAAAGGAAAGTGTAGAGGTTTCGGTTCATGGGGTGAGGTTGGGGCTTCAGAGTTTCGGGTTCTTCGATGCTTTGAGGTGTCAGGCTTTCCAGGAACCTCATGCGAACACAAGTGGAGGTTCACTGCCAACGAGTCAGGCTTTATATAGAAGAGTTGGCAAGAACACGCGAGTCACAGGTGCTCAATGCACCTTGCTCTTGCAACTGCCTTAACGACAGTCAAGGACAACAGTGCAGGTTCTCCGTACTAGGTTCTGGTTCTTCAGGCACCCTGAAGCGCAAACCCTACTAACCTTCACCCTATGAGCCATGAACCCCTGCACAGCTGAGCTTCAGCCCGACGAATCGAAACAACGAGCAACGACAGCGTCCGAACTTGTGCCTATCATCCGCAAAATCTTAAACTATTTGCCTGAGGCCTGACGTCCTAAACTCATAACCCTAAACCCAAAACCCAAAACCCAAAACCCTAAACCTTAAACCCTAAACCCTAAACCCTAAACCCTAAACCCCTAAACCCTAAGATGGCAGGCTTGCCAAAGCTTTGATCCATGCACGGGCGGAGGAACCTTGGCTGCAAAGGCTCGGGCCTAGGGTGGGTTCAAGGACTAAGTTGTCTTGGTTTGGGCGTTCCTCCCTTTTTTGTGGTGCTTGTGGTGTTGCGGGTGGTTTGCTGTAGGAGTTCTGGGATGAAGGTGCACTTCTCGGTCTGTTTAGTGGATTGTTGGGCCATGAGCTGCGTCAAGCTGCGTCCGAGGCTTGCAAGATATTGGCACGTCAGGGTTACCGGTTGAGAAGTTATTTGGTGGCTCCAAAACCCTCGACCTTGAACTAACTCAACCCCTGATCCGTTCTCATGTTGGTTCCCGCGCACTCCCCCCCAAAAAAAACACACATCTGACCTGCGTGCTTCAGCCCGGCGACGGTTAGGTCGACGCTTTCGATGAACAGAGGTGGCCAGTTGCATGTTCTGAAGGATGTCAGGTTCTTTCGGGGTTTAGGGTTGAAGGCTTAGTTCTTTGCGGGTGCGGGGCTTGTATGGTTTGAGGGTTCAGAGTTCAGAGTTTAAGGTTTTGGGAGATGACATGGCGCGAGGCTTCAGTGCCAGTATGGTAAAGGTTGCTGCAGGGTAGTTGTGTTTTCCCCGGATATGACCTGCCTGTGCAGCCTCTTGATCGTGCAAGCCGCAGGAGCCTGATCCACATCCGCCGGGATGAGTTTGAATTCGTTGAAGACCCATTTCTTGAAAAGAAGCTTTGTTCCCCTGCGCTCCTGCTACAGTTTTGAGTTTCGAAGCTGCCGACAGCCTGTGAGGAGTGTATGTGTATACATATATATATATATATATGTATATACACATACACGCACACAAAAATTTACACAGTTATGTATATGTATACGCACATGTGCGTAAACAACAGTATCACATTGATACAGAGCCACTCGTGTCGTTCTAGTGGCGGCCATGCTAACAGAGATGACCACCATGACAGATGACCATACCCTTGGCGAGGGTGATGATAATGCTGATGGTAGTGATGATGCGTATAATGATCTCAGACACACACGTACACTTCTGTTCTTAATGATGTTGCTTCTCCCGGCTTCCGTGCCGCGTACCTTGAATCCTCAACCCTCAAAGCTAACACCAGCCAGAACCCAGCTGAGTTCAGCAGCATGCCCTGAACCACATGAAGGAGTCCAACTACAGTCAACCCTAAACCCTAGAGGAATGTTCCCTACCTGCGCCACCCCAACTTTTCGAGCCATGCAGGCGGACCCCTTTGATGCACGCATGTGGGTCTCACAACATCGCAACCGTGGACCTGCTTCTTGAAGAGGCTTGGCTGCACCTGTTGGTTTTTTTTTTTTTTTTT